TGCCATAAGACTGATGATGCTACAAACATTGCATATTTGTTCTTTAAGGAGATGGTATGTTTGCACGGGGTTACTAAGAGTATTGTGTCGGATAGGGATGTTAAGTTCATTAGTCATTTTTGAAGAGTTTTGTGGGATAAGCTAGGAACTAAGTTGTTATTTTCTGCTACTTGTCCCCCACAGATCGATGGACAGATCGAAGTAGTTAATAGGACTATGATTCAATTGCTACGTACTGTGATTAATAAGAGTTTGAAGAGTTGGGGAGAGTGTTTTCCTTTCATTAGTTTGCATATAATAGGGTTGTACATTCTACTACTTCATTTTCTCCATTTGAAATTGTTTATGGTTTTAACCCACTAACACCATTGGATTTGATTCATTTGCCAGTTAATGAACGTGGTAGTTTAGATGGGAAAAAGAAAGCTAAAATGGTAAAGGCATTGCATGAGAAGGTAAAGTTTCAAATTGAGCAGAAGAATAGACACTACGCTACACAAGCCAACAAGGGACGGAGAAGCGTTACATTTGAACCTGGTGATTGGATTTGGTTACATTTGAGAAAAGAACGTTTCCCTGAACAACTGAATTCCAAGTTGCAACTATGTGGTGATGGACCTTTTCAAGTCCTTGAACGGATCAATGACAATGCTTACAAGCTAGATCTTCCTGATGAGTATAATGTTTCAGCTACTTTTAATGTTTCTGATCTCTCTTTGTTTGATACAAGTACAGATTTGAGGATGAATCCTTTTCAAGAGGGAGGGGATGTGATCCAAGATGTCGTTGCAATGAACACGAGCCCGAACACAAGTTCGAAGAAAGATCCGTTGATCGTTGAAGCAGGACTGATAACTAGAGCAAGTGCAAGGCGAGTAAAAGAGGCGATGACATTGCTTGTTCAAGTTATGGTGGACGATATGGCGACCGTGATGAAGAATGAAGCAAGTTCCGTGTTTGGGTCGTGGCCGGAATCAGGTTGGAAGACTTCAATACAGGCAGTGGAAGACGAGGGTAAAATTTTGCACGTCGAAGACAAGGGTGAAATTTTGCACTATGCGACCGCATAGTGCAATGCACCATGCGATCGCATGGTGCCATGCAGGGGCCAATAGGCCTTCAAAGTGAAGGCCCTATGTGGCCGCATAGGGTTAAAATCTACCCGAAATTTCCTTTTTTTGATAGAATCCTATTATATCTCGAATTTTACTATTTTTGGCAAGTTAATTTCGTTTTGACCTAGTTTCTAGGGTTTAATATAAATACTTTATTTCATTCATTGTAAACATCAACCATTATTATTATTGAATCAACTGAGAGGCTTTATTGCTTTCAAACCCCTTTGTTCTTCATTGAACAATATCGGACTTATCAAGAATCAATTTCTTGTGGCGTTTATCTATCCGGGCTAGGTTCATTAGGCGTGTGATCAAGAGGTCTTCATATCGTCGGCGATTGTGCTGGTTGCTTAATTCACCGTTTTTGGGTTTAAATCCATAAACTTGCGTGGACTTTCTTAGGTCGGATTTCAATATCATTGTTGGGTTACGTAGCTACTATTGCTACGTGG